GGCTGGAGAGGGTAAATTAGACTGACTAATGCAATTAGTTCTCTCCTGGACCACCTGTTTGAAAAGTGCTACATCACCTGATAAATTTGATTTAAAATAGACAACTGTCAGGTTAATTTCACATTCCACTGGGACCCGGGAAAACCCCACTTGGCCCCTGGTGAAAGAAACCAAGAAGCACAGAGACCAATTTTCATTGGCTGTCACATGCTTCCTAAAAGTCACCTGATGCAAAGACATTTTAAGAGGCGTAATATTGCTGGGGGTGAGGGGTTTGTTTTATTTGGTGGGAAAATCAATTCTAAAAAGAAGAGGCATGGTCAGTGTGGACAATTTCAAATCTAGTCAATTAGGTTATCTTCCTAAAAAGAAATTTATTTTCTTGCTTAGTACTGACCTTCCTGCATAAAAATCAAAGGTGATTTCTAAGATTATGCACTGACTCTCACTAAGCAGGAATTAGCCCTTACTAAGAGGAAGAAATACTTTTTAAAAAATCACTCCGAAGGACTCTGAGCAACAGTTATTTTAATAGGGTCATTAGATCCAAGGCAGGCTTCTAAATAGTCTATTATACCAGAACACTAAAAATGTAAGGAAGAATGCATAAAAACAACTGCATTTTAAAATTATTATTATTTTTAGTGGAAACCTTAGTCAGTAGGAAAGCTTTAGATCCTGAAGAAAACCACAGGGGGATTTTAAAGAGAGTCAAAAGAAAACCTGCATTTAAAAGAAAAAGGGGGAAAAAAAAAAGCCCAACAAATGAGCTAAGACTGCAGTGTTGGCTGATGAGCTAAAGCAAATGGTGGAAACTAGATCTCACCATAGCAATGACAGGTGTCTCTGGAATGGGGGAGCTCTCGTTTCACATACACTCCATGGACATTTATAACCAGGAATCTGTCAGGCTTTGGCTGTAAATCAGAAAGCAGAAGACTGCTGGTCACCTGTCATCTGACAAGGGATTTTAAGAGCACACAGTACACTTGCAATCATGCTGTACATTTAATAATGCGATACAGCTACTGCCACGTTGTTGGATAAGCATGGATTCCTTCACTTACCTTGCAGTCCTTGAGCAAAAGTCCCTGACATTCAATCTCTGATTTGCCTATGAAATGGGGTCCTAGCGTGTTTTTATTGCCCAAGGCTGTTTCAAAGGACAAATGTGACTCCATGAAAGGCTTTTAAAAAAATACAATGAGAATGTGTTGTCATTATGCAGAATCATTGCTATTACTGGTTACTAAGAACTCCAGGGCCATTGTGTATCCTCTTCTGTGGGTCAGGAGGGGACACACAAAACAGCTTCATACCAGTTTTTCATGGTATATATAGTGTGGATAAATTATAAAACCTAACACACATTTTTGTTTGAGAGAAATCTAGGGGAAATTGGATTTTAAAACACAGGAATGAACTTCGGCCTTTGAGAAGCACGAACTACTATTGGGAGACAGAGGAGGGAAAATAATAAAAGTTTTTCTTAATTCTAACAGTGTTGTGGCCAGATAGGCCATATCCTCTCCATGGCACCAAACAGCTCAGTGGAGCATTTTGAATTCAGAAAAATGGGTGCATTGAGAAAAAAAAAAAAAAAGGCCTTCTACAAGATGGCTGCAATGCAGCACTGTTGCACCTGGTGGCTGGTACCATAAATAAATCATCAATTAATTGAGACTCACTGTATAAATAAAGCATCATGGCAGAATGGCCATTAATACATAGAGCGTTTTGTCTGCACAGTTTTAATAAATACAGCAGCTACTAAGAAATTCTAATATAGCAGCCTCTTCAATTCTTAAGACATGAGGAAATTTAGGTTCCAAAAAATGGTAAAGCCACCAAAATTATCCAAAAGGGCAACAGAAACATGGAAACAGTCTATTATTGGCTAGTGTCGAATAAAAAAAGGCTTCAACACTTTAGGTATTCTAGAATTCTAGTCATGTCATTGATTCTTTCTATCTACCTACTTACCTACACCTACCTACCTACCTACCTTTTTCTCCTTTAAGGTTCCCTGAATACAGCAGAGGGAACATAGTCAATAATATGGTAATAACTTTGTATGGTGATAGATGGTTACTAGGTTTTTTGTGATGATCACTCTGTAAGGGATATAAGTGTCGAATCACTATGTAGCACAACTGGAATTAATATAGTATGTCATCTATAGTTTTTTTTAAATCCCTGTAATGTTAAGCTGTTCGGGCAATAAAAACACAGAGGGTACATATATACAAATGCACACACACATGTTTAAAGCCACAGATGAATCTGCGTGTCACAAATTCAGAGCCACATCAAAGGATGGTCATTTGTTCTGCATGTTCAGTGGCAGGAAGATGGATGCCTTGTTTTATGTGTTAGGAACAGAATGTCAGTAAAAGGCTTGTTCTAAATGTAAGGCCTCATTCTCCCTACTCTCCCCCTCCCCAGTGAGTAACTTAGACCCAGATGGGGTACCTCTCTTGGCACTTGGGCAAAATGAAACCTGGTCAGAAACCATAAGCCTGGCTCTCTGATTTAGGGTCATGCTACCTGTGGCTGAGGTTGGTCTGCTGGACCACCACCCTGGAAGCAGAGCCAGGATGCTGGCAAATTTCCTGTGATTAAGGTTAACATGCCCCCCCCCCCCAATACAAAACAAGGGAACTTCTAATATTCTTAAGACTCTGCCTCAGACATAGACCATTTGCTACTGGGTTGATGTTTGTATCATCTATGGTATAAGCCTCCAGTGCTGATTTGAGTGGACTGTGCTCCTGGCTCTGCACCCTCCCTCCCCCCGCTCAAATAGACATTTCACAAATGAGGCAACTGAGGCCCCAGAAGGCAAGGGACACTGCCCACTAGGGGCCAAGTGCACACTGTAACTGACTCTCCTGTCTTTACCCAATTGTGTCTCCCTTCCCCATCATGGGTTTGCTCCCCAGAGCGATGCTTGGAATATTGAAATGGGACTGTTGTGGCAAAACCAGTTGTTTGCAGGAAAACAGTGCATTGTCATTGGAGGCTCAGTGGCTTTGGTGCAGTGGAACATCAGAAATTTAAGCTCCCTCTCCTCTATGTTCTTGGGGAAATGATGATGTCATTATCTCTATGGGTGGGCATCAATGACCATCACATTTAACACTGTGATTTGTGAGAGATGCACATCACAACAGCATACAGCCATGTCCATAATGTCATTAATTAAAACCAGGACACATTACAAAATACTTAACAACATTTAGCAAAGCCCGAGAAATGGTGATCGTTAAATCCCTTGAAAGGTCTTAGAGAATAAAATAAAGAAATTCACTTTGGAATTTTCATTTAAGCCACACATTCAGACCATTGCTAATTACTGCTGTGATTAACTGTGGCACAAAGAGTCAACGCTCCAGGTTTGAGCTAAAGGAGTCTTGAGGAGGCAAAGGGGGTGGAGACTGGGAGGGGCCAGGAAGGACGTGAAGATAAGGGAGGGGTCTTGTTGTGGTGGGAGGTGTGGGGCCCCCACCCCAAAGCAAAGGGGGCAGGCAGGCAGAGGGCCCCGAAAGGTAACCTTCTAATATGATTATGAACACAAGACCTTTTTAATTTTTTTTCATCACCAGCCCACTTGCAGAGGATCTTACCTTTGAGCCTCTTTGCCCCCAGCTAAAGCTGCCTGAAAAGATTCACATGCAGACATTTACAGATTTCACAAGTCATAGTCAATGTTATCACATTTTGTCCACACACTTAAAATACACTCGGAGCATTTTAAAAAATGATTTATTTTAATTGCATTTTAAACACGACTGCAGTCCACTCCCAACGCACCCCTCTTTTAATTAAGCCCCTCCTACTGCATGAGTGTGAAAGTGTAAATGCTTGGCTTACCTCGGGCTCGTCCGTAGGGGGGGGGGAAATTATTTCATGTTTTTAAAAGAGCCACGCCCCCGCCCCTCGGAACCAACCCCCTGTGGTTTGGATCCAGACTTGCCTAGAGCAGGTTGGTGTGCTTTCCCCTCCCCCACCCGACCCTCCCCCCACCAGGTGAGCCGAGTGTGTGCAGAATACCGAATTTATGTGTGCAGCCCCTGACGCCCCAGATACCTGAGTGTCTGGTTTTCAACCGTAAAGGCGGGAGGGTTTGGCGAACGAATGAGAAGAGAGGAAACGCTTAGCGCAAAGGGAAAAAAGAGAGAAAGACATATAGAAAAAAAGGTTATGGAGGCCATCAGGAGGCGGCCCCCTTCCCCTGCGCGAGGTGCCCAACACATTACCCAAGATGTCCCACAGCCTCCTCTCTGCATGTTCCGTGCCGCCCGCTGCAGAGTGCCAGCTCACAGGTACCACCAGAGAGTGCGAACGCGGAAAGTTTTTGCCCGCGCCATGGCGCACAACACAAGACAGCCCATTCCCCGTACAAGTACACAGTCGGCGGGTGATTTGGGGGTGCCAGGGATGGGAACTGGGGAACACTGGAGCGCAGGTCATGCACAGGCGGACACAATATGGACACCAACACACACCAACGACAAGCTGTCTGAGTCCAAGCAGCCGTGCCAGGCGAGGCGGGGCGCGCCTTTCCCAACGACCCCATCCCACCACGGCCACAAACAGCTTAGCCGGGGAACCCCGAGGCCCCTCCCCGGCAGTTCCTGGCTCACCTGAGGCCCCCGCCTTTCTTGCCGTCCCCCACCCCAGGATTTGGGGTCGTCCTACGGTCGCTGGCCCTACCGCCGCTGGTTTGTCCAGCTGGAAACGACCCCCAGTGTTGTACACCACCTCTTTTCTCCCTGGAGGGCATATACTCCGGCCACCCCAGCCCACCCGAGACCTCCCCCCGCCCCCCACTCCCGGGGCAAAGTTAGGGCCCTCACTGGAACTTCCTAGCAGGCTCTTCTGGCCTTTGCCCAGCCACCCTCCTCCCGCCGCTAGGCCCTGCGCCCACGGGCAACCCTTCCACCCTTTCCCGGGTCCCGGGCGGCCCTGCTCCCCACGGGCAGAGTCCGCCGCATTACCTAGAAGCAGCAGGCGGTGCGTACACGTGTAACCCATCTTCTCCTCCTGTAGCTGCCTGTCGATGAGCTGGCTGCGCTTCCTCTGCTCGCGCATCTGGAAGCGCTGCTCCTGGGTTTCCAGGCACATCGGTCTGCAAGTCTCCACCATAGGAATCGTCGTGACCTTGGGACTGTGCGGGACTCTGAACTCGTCGTTCTCAGGTTGGCCGAAGCAGCTCTGGAAGGCCCGATCGAAGAAGTTGCGGAGCAAGTTACACTTCGGCTTTGGTCTGGGGCGATTTCGCTTCTGCTGACAGCAGACGTAGCATCCGAAGGCCCTCTCGTCGGACTCATCGCTGCTGCTGGCCGATCCTCCGTCGTCGTCGCGGTCGTCGCGGCCGCGCTCGGACCGGGC